ACGGATGGCAGTACAGTCGCGCGCGGCAGGCAGAGGGGGTCTTGTCTCTTGTCCCCCCGACTTTATCATACTCCGCCTTCATCCCCCCCCCCCTCTTCCACCCCCTAGTCCTCTTTGGCCCAGTCACACCAGCAGGGAGGCCTTTGGAGTGATCGCGGTGTGAAACTCAATGCTTTACAGAAGAGGGACGTCGTGCGAAGAGAGAGAGAGAGATCGGTAGATCCCACCCGATAGTATGGTGCCAACTGTTAGGAATTTCGTGGGTCAGAAAATCGGCGGCAGATGAGCCACCCCCACCCCTTATTCCCATACTCGCTGGTCCAGCGCGCTTAGAGCAGCTTATGGATGCCGAGAGGCGTGAATCATGTTTGACCGCGGTTTTGGCGCGTTGAGGTTTGCACTGCAACATTATGTGAGATCTGCATCACTCGCACAACATCCCGAGGTCCTGAAGATCACCTTAGCGTGAGCACCGTGCGAAGGGCCAGGAATAAGAGAGAACAAGAACAAAAGTCGTGAAAAACAAGATAGCCTCTGAGGTAAATGTCTAAATACTGTACCTTTAACACAAATAACTTCACAATAAAAATAAGTTTCTTGAATTTTAAGACTTGCGGTCATGGATACCATTCGCGTCTTCCACAAGATCCAAGACCAGGTCTTGAATAACAAGAAACTCTTTCTACCGTGTTCGAGAGCCAGAAAACGCGATAGCAGCCAGAGATGATGGAGGGATAAGGACTCCAACTATACCCCCCCCCCCCTCGGGCACATTACACTGGGATCATCGGGGGTGTCGCCTGGGACCCACAGGCGAGCGCTCTGCTCGCTGGCTGGACACACTGGCTGCGGCCCGGAAGCTCCTTTTTTTGCGTTATTGTTGCACAACACAAGGGCATTGTATGTGTGTGAATGTGTGTGTAGGTGTGTGTGTGTGGCGGGGGAGCCATAGGGCACCAGAACGGTAACAACGCGGTAGTTCCGCCGGCGGCGGCGGCGCAGCGTGGCGTGGTGGCCTGGTGGTCAGCCTTGCTCCCCTAACCTCTCTTCACCGTGCCGGACGGACGCTCGTACCGTACCTCGACACACACACACAGCAGCTTGCCACCGGCAAAAAGCCCTCCTCCCCACCTCCTCCCTTCCCTGACACACACACGTACTCACACCATACGACCGCAAACCCGGCCTCATAGTGTTTTGCACTCGAAAGGACGACGAAACGGTGAAACGACGATCGCAAGACCGCCGTACCTCCGGCGGGCGGGTGCGCGAGTTGCGTCGCGGCCGGCCGTAATGATACCGTATCATAACGACCTCCGGACTGCTTATGGCATATTGGGGCGGGAGTAGAGGGGGGCTCAGCCGCGGCGGCAGCGGCGGCGCCAAAGTGGTGGCGGCGCGGCTGTGGCTGTGTGCGGCGGTGTGCGGCCGAGGCTGCGCAAGCCAGAGAGGGTCTTCAAACAGCGCGCGCGCTGGCCGATCCGATCGCGCGGTGATTCAGCGTGTTCGGCGCGCACCATGACACGCGCAACGCCCAAAACACACACACATTCTCTCTCTCTCGCCCACATTACACAAACTCTCCCCCACTAACATGGCGCTACAAAACAAGCGAGTCGCCCCCCAAAACCGCACGCCCATGTATGAGCGCGACCCCCCCGTCCCCTAACCTACCCCCCTTCTGACAGCCGCTACCCCTGTCTGGTTAATTATTGAATACGTATACACTCTCGATATGGGATAGAGGCATTACTTAAATCTCTTCCTGCAGCTCTCAAGCAGCGATCGCGGTTAATTAAGCGAGCCATCTTAAATTTTCCCGCCAAAAAGGGCGAGCGCGCTCTTAAATAAACCAGAAGCAGAGCGCCAACATGAGCACGGTGGAGAGATACGCTGTCACGGCCTCGCCTTGTGTGTGTGTGTGTGTGTGTGTGCTGGTGGTGGTGATGATGGAAGGGGGGAGGGGATCTGTCGGGGATACGAGTGTATACATCCGCGCCCGAAACAGCGCAGTCAGAGCAATTTCGTGATGCGAAGCAAGTACGATAATAAATAATAACCCGAGCAAACAGCAGCCAGTCAGTTGTCATGTATGAGAAATTGAGTCCACCGCCGGCGGCGGCGGCGGCGTCGGCAAGCACACACACACAAAAAAGTTGAGAGGCGAAATAAAATAAACGACGGGTCTAAATAAACCGAGACGCGACGTGGTGACATACCGCCAGTCACGGGCCGGGCGTGGCGCACGCGCGCGGGAGAGCCGCATTGTGTGTCGACGGGCGCGGGGACGCGGCTGCATCACATCACCAGCTGCCCCGGCCGACCCATCACACCATCCTCTTATCAGGCGGGGTGCGTGTCCGAGAGCTGTAGGGCGCCGCCGGGCTCACGCCTTTCTCTCTCGCACCCACGCAGGTCCCGCTCCACACGGCGTGAGAGAGGGACGGAGAGCGACACCGCCCGAGAGACAAGGGGGACACCACCGCCGCCGGCTTTGACGGCCAGCCCGGCAGCGCAGATCAGTAGTCGAGAGCAGGACGGCGGCGCGCGGCGATAGCGACGACGAGGAAGACTGTGTCGGAGAGCGCGCGCTTCTGTGTGTCGAGTGTCGGGACGATACCACTACAGCGCCGCGCGGCAGTCATAGCGCCAGTCGAGACGGGAAGAGCCCCCTCGACGTCGGAGAGAGTCGTCGATAAGGTCCGGAATAACGTGAACATGTAAGTACTACACGGAAGTTGTGTGCCGAGTGCAGGCGCACCTGGACAGATCACAATGACCGGTTGATGGCGGGTATCGGGACTTAACGCGTTAAGAGCTCCGCTGCCGAGACGATCGACCAGCAGCGCGTTGTGCTCTCATTATACTTCCTAAACTTGTCGGCGGCCGCGCAAGAGAATTTCAGAGTCAGTGTGTGTGTGGAGTGGGCGCCAGCAGTAGTGGACCGCGCTCGGCGCGGACACGGCGAGTCGCATCAGGACCAACTTGAGTGTCCCAAAAACTAGGGAACCACTCTCGGGGAACAACAAGAACAACAACAACCACTACTTGCTGCTGGCTGGACCCGCTTCTGGTCTGGTCCGGCCGGTCCGCAGGGAACTCGACGCTGCTTTGATGCAGCAAGTACACGAGATTTCACAACTCGGAATCAAATAAACGACGCAAGCAAAGCAGGCAAGGGAAGGACCGTGGTGGGACCGAGGTGGGACGGACCTGATGAGAAATATGACGATGAGATATGAGACATGGAATTCAAGTGCGCGGGAAGAATTACGAAAACATTTCCGAAACCGCGAAACAAACGTCCGCCGGGGTGGAAAAGCTTTCATCCTACTTGAATATCTGCTTACATCACGTGTTTGTTTTGAGTGTGGAGATACCTTTACGCCATAAAATATTATCTAAAACGACGGCCGCGCGGTCCCGTCAAAAGGTCTTTTTTTTTTCTTTTTTGGGATGCGCCGTTTTGAGCTGAGTTCTTCCACAGTTTGATTGTCAGTACCTACTGTCGCGAAAGCGATGCTAATGGGCGGATCTGAGCGGCTTTGTAAGCAGTAGCATTCTACAATGTTTGAAATTGGGGAGGAGGGGGAGGGGGGATTCCAGGCACACTGGCACTGGACCCCATTCTCTTCCCCCCTGCAGCGGGAAGAAGACTGTGAAAGTACAAAAAATGCCCCTGATTCGTCTCGAGAGCAAAAATGTCCCCAACTTGGAGAGCGGGAGGAACCATGTTCAATGACGTGCCCCTTTGTTCTTTCGTGGAGTCTTCTCCGCGCCACTGACCGCGATTTTGACATTTTCTCTGTAAACCGCTTTGATATTGCATCGCACTAGGACTGGGTATTTTTGAAAATGGGGGCCGGGCCTGGAGGAAGGCTTTCGATGCAGCACTAAGGGCGACGGGCAGCACTTACCCTACTTCTCTTCCTCGGCGGCGAGAAAGGTCCGGGACTCATCCCCGGGACCCCCACCCCCTTGCCGATGAAGACATCGCCCTGCAGCCACTCTGTCGCCATCCCCGGCCTCCTTCCGCTCCGTCAGGCCCCTCTATCTCCGGTCGAGAAGGTCGAGGAGCAGTCCTCTCCTACCTTGAAACTCGGTCCGAAAGAGTGCCGAGTGCCCTCCTCCCGCGGTCTGGTTGTGCTTCTAGCAGTGGCGCGGCGCTGCGGGCGCGCGGGGCCAGGCGCAGCCGGACCATGGAGCTCTGTAACTTTCCTCTTCCTCTGTAGAAAAAATAAAAACGTTACAGTCACAATCACGATGGGGTCACGTTGGTAATTACTACAACAGAAGGTGATGGCCACTCGGTGCACCATAACCTAAGCAGCGCAGACCTATCGATAATCACAGTCCCGTCCCGCATCGCATCAGTTCGATTGAGTGTGGTCTGTGTGCAATCTATGAGTGATCAAAGTACGGTAAAAGATAGAAAAGATGGGTTTGCAACGCGACTGTAAAGTGCATCCTTCTACTTTGTTTGGGGCCGACACGCTGCCATCTCCCTTTTTTCCTTCAAACTAATTATTACTAAAGCGACTCCCTCATCGCTTACCTTTGAACCCTCCGTCGAACCCTTACGTCACCCGCTGTCCAACCTGGCCGAAAACCCGGCCGGCTAACCGGCTAACCGATCGGCAGGGCACATGAGAGAAAAAGCTGTAGCGGGCCGGGAAACACTGAATGACAAAGTTGGCACGCCTGTCGTCGGCGCTTCGCAAAGTGGCCGTCACGGCTACAGTAGCGAGCGGCGGTGGCTGCGGAGAGTGAGTGTGGTCAGTGAGTGCCCCGCGTTTGTAAACACGCTCGGTGGTGTGCGTTTGTTGTTGGTGGTGCGTCAATAACGTTGTAAAGAAAAACAAAACTCGGCGAGTTACCTTGCGCGCGTGACAGAGCCGCTAGCGGTGAGTACCAATTTGTGCAGGAGGGAGTGTGGGAGTGTGTCGGCCACGCGACTATCGCCAACATGGTAATGTCCGACGGTTCATTAGGCAGCCCAAATGCAGATGCGGGTCAGGCGCGCGCGAGTGAGGTTAGAGTTCTGCGGCCGGCCGAGAGAAACCGCCCCGTCACGGCGCCGCCGTCTCCTAGCTGCTCTGTTTACCCGGCTCTCTGGGTTATCAGCCCAGGGCGTTGTCCGGTGGCACTCGCCCGACATAACCTCTCAAAAGCATGCTGCCCAGGGGGGTGGCGGTGGCGGAGGGCGGCGGCGGCGAGCGCCGTTCGTCCGAGTCGCTTGCGTTTACGAGTGGTCTGCTCGACCTGTAGTAATCCAACTTTGTAGCGATGAAGCCAAGCGCACAGCAGCGTACACGACGGCGGAGCGCACGTACACACACGCACACACGGCGACACACACGGGACATACGCGCACGCTGCGCGCACGACACAAGTCGTAAGCAAGGCAACTTTACTCGGGCATCGGGAAGGGGGAGAGGAGGATCGTGTCGAGCGTGGGGCGAGCTCTGCACAGTGAGCCATAGATCGTAACTTGCTTGACCGTGCGCGCATTACCTTTTAAATGTACGGCATCATCAACAAGATGTTGAAAGTAGCAAATATGATGATTTCACGTAAAACAATATTATTTTTAAAAGAGCAAATTATTTCATTGTTTCGGGAAATTATGAATGTCTTTGATATTTAGTGTTGATTATCCCTTTTCTTTTTTCAGACCGACCATGTCGCCGCCGGGCTACGCGAGCGAGGTGCGTCTCCGGAGCAACGGCGCGGCCGCCGCGCCCGAGGAGAAGGCCGGCGTCGTGCCCGCGCCCCCCGCCTCCTCAGAGCCCGTCAAGGAATTCAAATCACCACTTGACAAAAGGTTTGAAAATGAAAATATCTCCGACAAAGTTTATGAAGGTTATTGTCTGAGAAAGTTCCCCCGGTTTGAACGCGTTTTCCTCGTTTTCAGGTACCACGTGGAGCGCAGTGCCATCCTCGGGTTGGGCAAGTCGCCGTCCCTGACGGGCTTCATGAACCTCTTGTTCTGCCTCACCACGCTGGCCGGCACGGGGCTGCTGCTGGAGAATCTCAACAAGTGAGTACACGTCTTCGGTCTCACAGCGCCTGCTCGACCACGATCTCCAACCCCCAGCGCTACCTGCTCACGACGCTACCTGTGTACCCTCTTTTTCCTGCTCCAGATACGGTTTTCGCGTCGCCATGACCCAGTGGACGCGCGCCTTCGACGCTCGCCAGAACGCGGCTGGATTCTACCCGGCCGTGTACCTGTTTCTGTGTGAGTACTCCTCCTCCTCCCCTGCGGTGGTAGTTCAGTACAGCACCCGGACACGTACTCACTCGTTTTGTGTTGTTTGCCGCTGCTGCATACGTGCCTCCTTGCACGCCCCGCGGCGAACACCCCCGCCGCCGCCCCGCCTGCCCTGGGCAGCTGGGGCGCGTCTTTGCCAGGCGCCCGCGCCCCGCGCCGCCTCCTGTGTGTCCTCTACTACGCCGCGCCACGCACTAGTACACCCCCACACCCTCCCCCCTCGATTCTCAAACCGCCCGCTGCTGCTAAGTTAAACTTGAACGTTTTGGCTCTCTGTCTGCCGCTCGGGCTGGGGCTTTGTTTTGGTGCACATTGTGTTGGCAAGCGCGCGTGGGCTGGTGGGGGTGTGGCCCGTGTACCACCACCACCTCCTCCTCCCCATGGAACTCGTCCCCATACGGAGAAGGAGGGAGGGCGGTGAAGATTGGGCCAGGGGAGGAGAGGGTCCTCCGTCACTCTTCGCGCCTCCGTGCCCCCCACCCTACCCGCCCCCTCGCTGGTGGCGCTGCTGCGGCGGCGGTGCTTGCGAGGGATAATTAAGGACCTGAATCCTGGCGTGATTTGGCCGTCTGAGCGACAAGGTTGTTGGGCGTGCCTCTGGGCTAAGTTTACTGCCGCGAAGGCCCTGTCGGGGCGTGGTGGGGCAGGGGGCGGGGCGGGGCGTGGTCGGGCGGGGACTTGATGCCGCTTGGCGTTGTCGGGGAGGGATGCCGGCGCCTGTGTCTTTGGTTGGTACGGTGTGTGGCTGTCGGAGGGAGGTGAGGGGGGGGGGGAGTGTGGGATTGCGTAGGAGGGTCCCGCGGGCGCAGAGGGTAGCGGCGCGAGGGGGGCGGTGGAGGGCTGGACGGAGGGGCGGAGGTGGCAGTATAGGCAGGCCGTTAGCAGCATCTCCCGCCTGCAGGGGCGGTGGTGGTGGAGGCCCTGCCCTGCACCTCACCGCAGGACCGTACTTTGTCACGGCAACGGCAGTTAGGCAACCCGCTAAGCGTGCCCTCCCCTCCCCTTCCCTTCCCCGCGTCCCCCTTACCCACTCCTGCCGCTATCGCGCCCTGCTTCTGGTGTTGGGGAGGTGTGGGGGGGG